TCGTCTTCTTCCAGCGATGCACCCGAGGATCGTTCTAAAGTCTTGATGTCCTGGAAAAAAAACCAGCAGTAGTTAGTGGCAGTAATTCAGACATGATCATACTTCAAAAAACCAAAAAAAAGACTATAATCGAAGTAAGATTATAGCAGCTGCAACTGCAATACGGTTTGTCTATTAATTTGTACGAGACTTTCACGTTAAAATTTGTCATCATTAGGGTTAACCACAGTCACCAGGAAAGTTAGGTACGGTCACTGCTACCAAAAGGATTTATTCGCATCAACAAACCAAATTAAAATAGCATTACACACAGAGAAATCAGCAGACATTGGGCAAAACCGTAAGAAGGTCTCCAGTGCTTAAACAATCGTCTGAGGCTGTATGGATAAAAGGAATTCAAAACAGAAAGCATGGAGAAGTTGCCAGTTGCATCAGTGGCGAAAAATAACTCGACGATGAAAAAACAACTGATAATTGTTGCAAAATAAGTACAGCAGCAATTGGTGAAAATTCTTACAGGACGAAAAAAGTAGTAGATGTTCGAAATAATCATATGCAGCATGGATGTGGTATTGTAAATGAGATTAAATGGTGGTGGTACAGCAGTGTACCATTCGAAATACTCGAAATAGATATGACACCGGGTAAATTTCCATTCCAGATCTTCGTTTTTCTGCAAAAAACAGCTTAATGAGCAGCAGTAAGCTGTCGCAGTGATAGAAGTTATCATTTCGCAGGATGCATAAATAAAAGATAAGAACTGGTTGGTTAGTATATAGCTATAATTTTTAGTATATGGTTATAGACCTGTCAGACGTTGGCAGCTGGCAAAAACTGTATATCAAGAAGATACGCCAAACATTTTTTTCGGGGAAGATTTCAAGAATATCAAATCACAAGAGCTATCAGGTGGATGTATCCCACGTTAATGGTTTTATCGGTGAGCACAGCTATGCCAGGCCCTTCGATCTTGGACTGCATTTGTTACTTATTTGTCACCCACTGTTACCCATACCGCCACTTATCACCCACTGAATGTTCGATGTAAGTGCGCTAGCTCTTCAAGGGTCGTTCGAGTGACCACTTACTTTCCCACGAGTACAATTCAAAGAAGCGTAACGTACGCCGACAGCCGATAGGGCAAATACTCGAAAAAAACATAGAGGGAAAACGAGAAAACAAGTCGCCGGGTTACCAAAGACTGGCAGTAGTTGACCACCTTCGCCTTACTGGCGCCTCGCAACGAAAAGAAGCTTGTTTAAAGTGACGAAGCAATTAACAAGAAAGAAAGCTTGCCAGGACGTCGCTCGCTGTTCGAACTAGCATCGAAATCATAAGATTTATCAATGTAATCACAACGGCAATATGAAATGCGGCAATTGTTACTTCGCCGACATAATTCGTGATTGTGTGTTCGGTTGGTTCCTGGTTGGGGCCAGCATTACCCACAATTAGCTTGTAGTCCCATGGAGCCAGATAGCCATAAAATGACCAGTACAAATTACGAAATGTTATTCCCAGACTAAAATTGCTTTAATATTACAACTTTGAATTCGACCAGCAGCGATCTTAGCACAATTAAATATTATTTCAATAATTTCTTCACCTATACAGATGATGACTTTTTCAGTTTCTCTGACCAGTGGTACATTGCTTGGTGTTCAGCCTGCTGGAGATTCTGACATCCATTTCGTGTGCTTAAGAGATTCTCGGCTCAGCCGTCTATCAGCAGAATCAGTGTGGGAAGATTTTAGCCATTTCGAGTCGTTACTGATGCAGATTGAGCATCACCGCTTATGTTGCGCACTTCTAGACTACGACGAGATATCACACAGTGATTTGATAATGTCGATAACACGCCCGATATTCGTAATTTTATTCATGTTCTTCATTTTCTATGACAGCGCATCCCCATATTCACAATTTTTTTGTAGCGTTGTGCTCCACGATTTCGCACATTTAAAAATTTTAATCTTCTAAACATTTATC